GGGGGGCGGGCGGCGCGGGGTCCCGCCGCTCTCCGCCGGGGGTCGGGCCCCGGGGGCGGTGGGGGTGCTGCCTTGGCTGCAGCTTGGTGTCGAGGGCCCCTAAAGCAGTAGAAATCGCCCCTCGGAGCCTTGGCGTCCCACAAAACGCCGGGGTTTGACAAGAGTAATTAGTCGTCCTGGCCATAAGCCTGGCGCATAGGTACAGTTTGGGCATGGTTTGAAGCTTTTTTTTTTTTTGCGGGGAGTGTTAAATGAATTTTTAACAAAAAGGATGGGTTCGTGTATTCCTGAATCCAGGAACCAAAATCAAATACCCTGAAACATGGGACAGAACCGAGGCAAGCCTTCTGCTGGCAAACACATTCTAGTGTGATCACACCGAAGTAGAGTCAGGTGTGGTGTATTGGTAATGATGCTTGCATTTCTCCTTGGAAATAAAATGAACCGCGATGATGACAAGCTTTTGCTTATCCACGAAATTTGGTGTCTTAGAACATTCACAGAAGCGTACAAGCCAATCAGTATGTGGCAATGCTTCTGCTTCAGTTCATGCTTGACTATTGCAAGACAGAGAACCGGCACAGAGGAGAAGCTTTACAAGTGTCCCAGCCACACAAGCAGCTTCAATTAGTGCTCAGAACAGAAGGGGAAAGCTGCAGGACATACAAATTTGCTAGTGCTGTTGCTCGTGAAACTACTTATTTACAGTATCTAAACTTCTTTGCTACACACAAAAGAACTTAAATTTTTAAGTTAACATTGGGTTGGGTTTTTTTCCTAAAGCACTCTTCACAAAACAGTGTTCTGGCATCTTTCACCCCTCAACCCCTGTCTTATTTAACTGCTTTATATCAAGGATAGCGTCTTAGAGAATGCTTGTATTTTAGTCTACTTTACCAGGATGTGATTTTTTTTTTGTCTTTTTTTTTTTTTTTCTAACATGTAGCGACTCTTCTCTTTCTCAGGATGACAGGAACAGATGTGTTTGGAATTACTGTACCTCTTATTACCAGCACTACTGGAGATAAACTGGGAAAGACTGCTGGCAATGCAGTTTGGCTAAACAGAGATAAGACTTCTCCGTTTGAGCTGTATCAGTTTTTTGTCAGACAACAAGATAACGTAGTCGAAAAGTAAGTAGTTTTTCTTCATCTTGCTTTTTGTCATTGCTTATAAAACCTGATCCTAACTGTTCTCTGTAACTGTTTCATTTGGATATGTGCAACACGAGTTCTATGTAGAAGTATACGTTAATTATAACTGTACATTCCTTACATAAACAGGCATGACTGGTTCCTAAGTATACAGGATAGTGGAACCTGTCTGCATATGCTGCCATATGCATCATAAAATTAGAATGTGGATGAACAAACAAGTAAAGCGTAACACATTTTGTTTTGCCAGTGGGGTCACTTTATCTTACAAGGTACGTTAGTTTCGGTACTGTAACATCACAGTATCAAATGAAATCTCTCCTGCTGATTAATGAGCAACTGCAGTTTCATAGATATACTCAGTAAAAACTTGTAGTAATTAATAAGGTATGCAGAAACCCCACATTGTCACAGCATGAAGCTACTTAACTGGTTATAAACAAACACATAAAGTTCGGGTTCTAGAACTGCACCACATCGAAAACTGCATATCCCTAAGCAAATTAAAATAGTGCCTTGTGTAGAAAAAGCCAAGAAGTCCGTATTTATGATTGTATTAACTGTCTAGATCAGTGGTCTCCAAACTTTTTTGATCACGTGCCTCTACCAGTAAAAACAATTTGAGCATTCACTGCCAATACATGCCTATTTATTTATTTATAGCGTATATAAGTGTACTACTGAAGTTCTAATATTTTCTTCCTGCACCCCAATGGATCACCTCGCATACCTCCACTTTGGAGACCACCGGTCTAGATAAAAACATGCCGAGGAGATCAGTTACACTGTGGTAGTAGAGCAATTAAAAAGGGGAGAAAATTATACCATTTTAAGCTCATGGCAGGCAGTATACAAGGTAGTATACAGTGAATTTACCAGGTAGAGGTGTTTAGGCATCAGTTTTAAGTCATTGTTGAAAGTAAAACCTAAGGCAGAGGAGAAAAACAGAATGAACAAAATTCACATACCTGGTCAAATTACTAGTTGCATGTTCCTCTTCAAAGCTAGTAGTCATCACCCGAGGCTTTAGTTCAGTAGTGTAACTGTGGTAAAAATGTCTCATGTAATTTTCCCTACCTCTGGACAAACATATTCTCTACTTCTATCCATGTACAATAACTCACATAATTAAGCATGAATTAAAAATGTTTAGATGATGGGAGAAGTGCTTGTTACGTAAATGACCGATAGTAGTAACATGGTGAAACCTTAAGGCTGTTTGATATTCTTTTCATAGAACTTGCATGGAAATTTTAGTGGATCTTTATGAAAATTGCAGATAGGAACCATTTGTATCATTCTGACTCTGCTACTGTTTCATTGAAGTTAACTGTTCATCTTTCTCATCTTGGAAAGAGGAAGCAAGGATTTCTGCTTACAATTATATTGGCAAGTGGATTGATCTGTAAAGCAGATGAGACTGTAATGCATCAAAACCTGGAAGGATATCCAACTACTATTTAAAGCTGTAGCACACACGAAGACAAAATTCTGAAAAATCATTACTTAGAGGAAAGCGATTCTAATGAGCAAAACGTGGTCTCAGATTCATTGTGCTGTCTGTGAATCCAGGTCATCCACACATAACTCATATTCTTACTGAGCAGTGTAAAAATATTAAAATCACATAATGAGAACATGATAGGGTAGCAAACATATGAGAACTACCATTTCACAGGTTTACCGTCATCGATGGCTAGCCTCCATGCTGGTGTGCCAGTGACATGGCCGAAAAAAAATAGCCAATAGCTTTATTCAGGGCATTATGTTAATTTTAATAAGTTGCTGTATGTTCTTTTTTAAATCTGCTTTTCTTTGAACTTCAGTATCACTGTCAAATCTGAGTCTTCATAAACCTCAGACAGGTACTTCCCTTTCATATTGTGACCTATCTCATAACTCAGTTACCTCTCTCAAAGGTTTATTCCCTGACATTTCAAATTTAGGTCTGCATCCACAATACTTTCCAGACTGAAAAGAAGGGTATGTGGATACTTAAAATATTTCATGCGTTCACAGACTTTGTAACAGTAAAGGTACCGTTTTTAATACACTGCATTTCATGGTACTGTAAGTCCATTAAAATGGACTTTGTTGTAAAGAATATGCTCAGATACGCACCTCTAAATTCTTGATTAAGATTTAATT